CCCAGGAGGAAGGGACAGCCACAGGAGGAGAGGACAGCCCCAGGAGGAGGGCTACAGGAGGAGGGCATGGCCACAGGAGGAGGAGACGGCCACAAGAGGAGGGAGGTACAGCCCCTGGAGACCAGGGACCAGGCTGACCACCAGCAGGGACATCGCCTCAGCCCTGTCACTCGGCCCAAGCAGCTCCAAGTGGACACAGTGGCACCTGGACTTCAGCTGCCTGGTGCCTCCCCAACACTGCAGCCCGGGCCCTGTGCAGGCTGCCACTCTGACCCACAAGACCTACTTCTCTCGCAGAGTCTGCAGCTCCTTCCTGATGTCAGCGTCCTCGATCTCTGAGTCATTGTCACTGCTGATGTAGGATGACTGGGAGTGGAAGGAGGTCACGCTGATGGTGGGGACCTTCACACCAGTCCTGCTTGGTGTCTCGGGGCCTGGGGAGCCAGCCCGTGAGGACCTTTGCAGGAAGGCGGTGGCTTTCTTCACGAAGTCACTGGCCATGCTGCCACCACTGCCGGGCAGGGAGGCATGCTCCTGCACGGGCGGCCTCAGGTGCAGGCATTCGTCCCCGGAGTCACTGGACACGGGCTCGCCTACACCGACCTCAATGGTGGAGGCCGTCTGCGCCCGCCGCACGGCCAGCTTCACGTCAGGGCTGTGGGGGGCCTCGTCCAGGTACACATCCGGTGGGGCTGAGTACCGCAGGCTGTTGGGGGAGGCCAGGGTCCACTCGTCCTGGGTGCTGACCACAGAGAACCGACCCACAGTTTTGGCTGGCGAGCTGCCATCCTGCTGTGCTGGCCACTTCCGCGGGGACCCCGAGGCCAGAGCACCAGGCATCTCGGGGTGGCTGGCCTGGCCGCCCTCTGTCAGTGTCCCCAGACAGCTCCGTGTGGGCTCAGCTGAAGCTTCCCTGGGGACTCCGCTGCTCCAGTCTCTGGGCTCCAGACTTGCAGGGATGGCAGAAGCGGGGGCATCCTTGAGAAACAGAGACAGAAAGAGATTCCACGTGAACACCAGAGAGGGCAAACGCCACCAACCGGCAGAGCCTCACATCAGAGAAAACTCCTTACCTGGGGGGCGCTGGGGGCTGCAGGCAAATCTGAGGCCACCTGTCTTCGATCAGAGCCCAGCAGAGCCAGCGTGTTACTCAAAGACGATTCTGCTGTAGGAACGTCAAAATTGTTACTGGGATTGGTGCGGAGGACAAGGCAGGAATGGCCCAAGGCTGCACTGAATCACAGGGGGAGGGCAGCCGGTGGGAGGAGAGGGAGCCAGCGGGAGGAGAGGGAGCCAGCAGGGAGGAGTCGTGTGTGCACAGCAGCTAGGAACACTAAATACCCCATCACGTCCTAACCCAGCCACTTCGCGGAGACGTCCTAGAACCCGGGGAAGGGAGGAGCTGTTAGCTCTACACCACTCAGGTCCCTCGGGAATAGCCAGGCCCCTACACACCGGATGCTATCACCTGTTGCACCTGCCATCTCTACACACCTGATGGTGTCACCTGTCGCACCTGCCATCTCTACACATCTGATGGTGTCACCCATCGAACCTGCCATTTCTATTACCTGATGGCATCACTCCATCTCTCCCTGACATGTTACGATAAAAGGGTCTCATGAGGTCCCGGAAGGATCAGAACAATAGTGCTGATTCCTAACCCTTCTCTTCCAGTGTCTAGGGAAGGTCCACGTCATCTGAGGCCGCCTCAGTTTCCCTGTCTACAGAGTGGGAACACGGCGTGATATTTCTGACCGGCTTTCCCAGGCTGCTCTGAAGAGCGAATGACAGAGCAGAAGGAGCTGATGTGTGAGAGCCCGGGCCTGAGCTGAGACCCGCTCACGGAAGAAAGCTGTGGGCAGGTGGGGCTGTGTGGCAGCCCCAAGCTGGACCAACAGGCTGCAGCGGTGGATGACGGGCCCACATAGCCTCTAGCCAGGCTGCCCCCCCCCACAGATTCCTGGGGTGACCCAGGCCTGTCTGTCATGTACCCCTACCCATAGGCAATGCCTGACACCCCTCCTCACATGGCTGTGGTGGGGATCATCCAACCCGTTTGAATGCCTCCAGGGATAAGGGGCTCACTACCAACCACATTCCTATTTCTGGACAGCTCTGACAGCCAGAAAAGTTTATCTTTTCCAAACCAGTGTCTGTCTCCTCAGAGATCCCCCCCGAGTTCTGCGCTCTGGAAGGAGTGGATTCTGCAGTGGCTCCAGCACTTGAAGTCACTGTGGCTGCACAAGGGACCCATGGGACACGTCTCACACACAGACGTCCAAAGGAGATGGGACACGCACTCAGGTGCGTGTCCTGAGGGCGGCGTCCTGAAGGCCAGGTGACCTCTGGCCTTTTCCCGCCCCAGCACGCTCCTGCTTTACCCCAGGACCCTCGGCTTCCCCAGGTAAACATCATGTGCTACAGCTTCTGACCCATGCCAGCTGCCCCCAGCCCTCCCAAGTGTGGCATCTACGAGTGAATGCAGCGTCCAGGGGTCCCACCAGAGTCCACCGTCCCACTCCCTCGCTCTGCAAACTGGTGGGCTGTGCCTGCCGCTGGCGCACATCCAGGGTCCTGTTACAAGGCTCAGCTGGATTCTCATCTTGCTAATCTCCCAAGAAATTCCAGGCCAAGAAGGAACCCACACCCTGGAAGGTCAGACCCACTCCCTCAGGAGGGGTCACAGGGGTGCAGTCAGGTAAAGAGTCGAGTCACAGCTCAAGTCCCGCAGATGCACAATGCCCGGGAGCCAGGAGGAAATCCCACTTCAGGACCGCAGGATGGCCTCTGTCCAACTGACCACGAGCATCTTGTCATCTTCCAAAGAGAGGGGGGCTCAGGAAGCCCACCGGAATGTGTGGGGAGCACTAGGTGGCCAGACAGTCCCTGATCACGCCCGGACACCCAGTCAACGGGGCTTTCACCCATTTCCACACAGGACTCTCTCTCCTTGGGGCATGACCACGTGGTTTGTGCTAAAACTCAGTGAGTTTTAACTAAGGCATCCCGACAAGCTCCCGCATGTCTGGTCCCACCCTAGATGCTGCAGGGAGGCAGGGCAGAGATGCAGAATGTTCCGGAGTAAGGAAGGCTAGTGGCACCTAGTGCATGCTGGGGGTTGGGCCGGTGACCCAGGGCTCATTACCTGTCATCGGTGAGGACATGGCCTGCTCCCGCGGGGCCCCTCGTGCAAGGGCCATTTCTGACTTTTCCAACTGAGGAAGAAACCGAGAGGAAGAGCTGTGAGCCTCGCTTGCTGACACGTCTGCTCCTCCCCAGGCTGTTCCGAGCAGGGCCCAGCCCGGGTGCTCCACGCACACAGGTCTGTCCAAGCCGTCCCGACCCTGCACACGCAAACCCCAAACCCCAGATGTGTGGGTCGGGCGTGGGTCTCTGATACCAGGACGGCCCAGGCTGGGGGAGGTGGCGCCTCTGGGTGAGGCCAGTACTCACCACAAGCTGGGCAGGCAAGGCTAGGTCCTCCCCGGAGGCCTCTGTGTGGGGCTGGTCCCCTCTCGGGGGCTCCAAAGCAAAGTCTCGGTCACCAGCCTCCACGGGGGTCCCGGCTGAGGCCGAGGAGGTGGGCACATGCTCCTGGTAGAGCAGAGTGCGCAGCTTCTCATCCAGGCTCTTGATGGTGCTGTCCACGAAGCCCACCCTGGGCGGCAGACCCTCCCCATCCGACTCCAAGGCAGAGGGCGGCTGCGGGGGGGGAGCGGGCCCCAGCGGGGGGCTGGGGAGTTGGGGGGGGGCCAGGCTGATGGCCCCCACCGCGGCGGGGAGCAGGGGCAGGGGCTGGCCCAGGGCAGGCTGAGGGGCTCCACCGGGCACGCCGGGCCCAGGAGCCGTAGCCGGCGGGGTCTCCCTGTGGGCACTGGCCTCCCAGGCTGAGATGGGCTCCCCCAGACCCGTGGAGAGGCGGGGGGCCTCTGGAGGTGGGGCGCAAGGCCTTCGGTCCTCGCCCAGGGGCTGTGCGGCAGGCTGGGCGTCATGAGTCTCTGCCAGTGGCTGGGGGGTCTCGCGCTCGCTGGCCGGCCCCCGAGGGGTCCCAGGGGCCCCTGCCTGCACGGCAGACCCCATTGCTGGTTCTGGCTTGGGGCTGGCGGCTGGTGCGGCCGTGTCCTGGGGCACAGCAGTCACAGGAGGGGAAGATGGCACCAAGGGGGCCGGTGCACCGCCAGGGGCCTCCCTGGGGCCTGCCTGGCTCAGGCGCTGTGGACCGGCCAGGAAGCCGGGTTTTTCCTTCAAGGACAGCTGGTCTTTTGAGGGCACTGAATCTAGAAGAAATAGGAAAACACCTCTGTACCGGTCTACTCTGGTCCTAATTACCTGGCACTTCCCTGGCCAAAAAGATGCCTTCTGTCGGCTGGCAGCACCTGCACGCTGGTCTTCTCTCCTTTCCTCCGACGCCAAGTGCACATGTGGGCTGGGCTCTGCCTGAGACGCCTCCCCGGGTCTTCCAATCTGCGTCCGACCTCAGACCTCTGTCCCAGCAGCCTCTTCAGATGAACCAGCACACCTGCCCCTCCTTCTGATTGTTCTGCAGCATAACCAGCAGCTGTAACCCGCTGCCCGTCTGTCGGGCCCCTGTCCACCAGGGGAGCTCACGGCTCTGGTCTCCCTGGCACTGGCCATTCCACAACACTGTAAAATTAACTTTTTAAACTCTGGGGTCTAAGGAGTGAGCCACACACACTCCCCAGCCCAGAGGGAGCAGGAACCTCCTGAACCAGACGCCACGCTTGGTAAGGTCAGATGCTTGGAGCACCAGCGTCCCGCCAGGGCTGGAAGGGGTCCTTAGGGGAGGAACCCTGGGCACCCAGCTCAGTGCATCCCCTCCGGACCTCTCAGAGCCTCCATGTGCTCAGGGGACCGGGAACGGTGAGAGGAGGATGCAGGATGCCAGGTTTCCCAAACTTACGTGGCCTTTGAGCCCACTTTTCTTTACTTAAAAAAAAAAAGACAAAGCTTTGTCCTTTTAAAAATACAAACAAAATGCATAAAACAAAAATGAAAAGCTTACAAAAAGAAAGGTGAGGGAGAGAGCACCAGGACCCCAGCCCGACTCGCGCTGCCCCTCCCCCAGCAAAGGGACCCTGACCGGCACAACACTGGTTCTCACACGGCCCCATGGGAGCACGGGCTCTCAACGCTGAGTCCAGCTGTGCCCGATTTTGAATACTGTATCCGTGCACTCACACCGTGCCTGTCTTTCCTGTCTTGCTTCCCTCACCGTCGTGCCTGGGAGAGGCACCCTTGCTGCGTGTCTGTGGACTGGTCCGCTCCCCCGCTCTCCCACAACTCACGAGCCGTCATGTGGCTGGTCTGCACTAGCGTGCTGACACTTGGGAACATCGCTAATACTAGCGCACAAGTGAGGGTGTGCCCGCGCGACCTGCGGGGTGTGCACCCAGGAGCTCTAGCCTTCAGGAGCGGGTGCTAACTGGACCCCTCCCAGAGCCGCCTCTGGGCGCTCCCCAGCCTCTTACCTCCCGAGTCATCCTTGGGGGGTAATCGGATCTTCATGTGATTTTGTTATTTGTTTTCTTGTGGTAAGAAGACTCAACACGAGATCTACTCCCTTAACAAAATGTTAAGTGCACAATGCAGTGTTGTCAACTATAGGCACGTTGTTGTACAGCAGATCTCTAGAACTTTTTCAGCCTGCATAACTGACACTTGATACCCATTGATCAGCACCCCGTCTCCTCCCCTCACCCATTTCTCCTCCCCCAGCCCCCAGCAACCACCCTTCACTCTCTGCTTCTGTGAGTGTGACTACTGTGGGTCCCTCACATAAGTGGAATCATGCAGTATCTGTCCTTCTGTGACTGGCTTATCTCACTGAGCATAGTGCCCTCAAGGTTCACCCATGCTGTAGCGTGTGTCAGAATTTCCTTCCTTTTTAAATAATATTCCATTGTATGTATATACACATTTTCTTTATCCACTCATCCATCGATGGACACTTAGGTTGTTTCCATATCTTGGCTACTGTAAATAATGCTGCAGTGAACATGGGGGTGCAGATAGCTCTTCAAGACAGTGATTTTGTTTCCTTCGGATAAATACCCAGAAGTAGGATTGCTGGGTCATACGGTGATTCTATTTTTAATTTTTTGAGGAAGCTCCATACTGTTTTTCACAGTGGCTGTACCAGTTTACATCCCCACCAGCAGTGCACAAGGGTTTCCTTTTCTCCACATCCTCACCAACACTTACCTTTTGTGTGTGTGTGTGTGAGGAAGACTGGCCCTGGGCTAACATCCCTGCCCATCTTCCTCACTTTATATGGGACGCCACCACAGCACGGCTTGACAAGCGGTGCATCAGTCCACGCCCAGAATCAGAACCCAAGAACCCCAGGCCGCCGAAATGGAGCGGGCAAACTTAACTACTGCACCACCAGGCCAGCCCCAACACTTACCTTTTTTTGATAAAAGCCATCCTGACAGGTGTGAGGTGATAGCTCCTTGCGGGTTTTCATTTGCATTTCCTTGATAACTAATTAAACCAAGCACCTTTTCTTATGTTGATCTGGAGATCTGGTTTCAGGACATCTCTGTTTTCCTGGTGAGCTGCATTCATTTCTTCTGATCCATAGCAGTTCTTCACGTATGCTGCATGAGAACCGCGTGCACTGTATCTTCTCTCACTCTGTGATCTGCCTGTTTGATCAGTGGTGTCTTTGATGAATAATATTTCTTAACTTTAATGCAGTCAAATTTAGCCAAATCTTAGCCAGGCTTTCCTTCCGTGTTTTTTGTGAACTTCACTGTGTCTGCTCTGCACCGGGGTCATGAAGATGTTCTCATCACTTGGACATCGAGACTCACAATCCCCTTGTAAGGAGCTCTGTTTACAGTACGAGGTTAGAAGCAAGGTCACTTTTTCCCCACGTGGACAGCCTATTGTCCCAACTCTTTTTTTTAAAAGGCCCTGCTGTCCCCACCACTCTGCAGTCCGACCTTTCTTGTCAGTTGAGGCTCGGGCCTGCTTCCGGCTCTTTCACTGCACTGTTCCATTTACGCTTGTTCCAGGGTCACGTTTCCAACGTTAGTCACAACACTCAGCAGGACAGCATCCGGCCCCTAGAGGGTCTTGGTTTTTCCTGGTCTTTGCATTTCCACAAATATTGTACAATTAGCTGGTCGATGCCCATTAAAATATTGTTAGAATTTTAACTGGGATCACACTGAATCTATGGATCCATCTGGGGAGAACTAACGGGTTACAATACCAAATCTTCTGATCCACCAACAGGGTATATATCTCTCCACTCACTTCTTTTTAAATTTCTCTCAGTGTTGTATGGTTCTGGGTACAGAGGACTTACATATTTTTTGTTAGATTCATCTCTAGTTGATGTTTCGTATTATTATGTTAATATAAATGGAATTTTTCAAAATTTCTCATTTTCTAACTATTGCTGATATAGAAAGATAACTGGATTTTGTATCTACTTACCTCACTAAACTCACTTATTAATTCTAATAATTTATCATATGTAAATTTACATTTCTATGTATATAGTCACTTGTCAACAAATAGTGATAGCATATTTCTTCCTTTCGAATCCTTATAGCTTTTTAAAACAATAATTATTTAAATGTCATTAAATAGAGATAAAAAAATTATATTATTACCAAAAAACCACAATAATTTCCACCAAAAAATGGGAAAAGTTTTAACAAACATATTTCTTGGAAAGAATTATAATTTGTCCCAATACAATAATTTTATAGCAAGAGCTTCTTAGTAAAAGATGGTTATCTTGTTCTGTCCAAATTTTTAATAAAAAGTAGTAATGTTAAAAGGAACATCACTTTTCATGCAGCATCAACATGGAATTACACTGAGAATCAGAATCATCACCCAGCTCGAGCGTCTCCTCCGTGGCACGAGTTCTGTATTTATTTCCACTTACAGAGTGGTTGATATTGGAACAGATAACAGAAGGAAGCCCGCCTTAAGCTGGCACCAACTCAAACAAGCAAAAATTTGCTTTGGGAAATCTTGTTTTGAGATGAATGGAGTTTTCTTCAAATGAGAAGGAAAGCTGCTGTGCCACCATGACATCTCCTTGAACACTTACAGAGAGCGCACTGGACATTGGCTCTCGAGCCTGGCTGCAGACTGGACTCACCTGGATGGTGTGACTGAGGATCTGCTGGTGCCATCACAGAAACAGACCTCACTGCCTGAGGCTCCTCAGCCCTACCGCTGTCTTCCTCTTTTCACTTCTTCTTTCTCCCTTCTCCTTGTCTTCTCCCTCTCTCCCTGCCTCTCTCCTTCCCATCCTTCTTCACATCTTATGTACTAAGATGCACTGTCCACGTGCACCATCCAGGACCCCCAGGAGGGTACGGAAGACAAGTGGGGATAACGGGTATTCTTAGGGAAAACATTCAACATATCACCATTGAGGATAGTTGCTGTTGTTTCTTAAATGGATATCCTTTGAAAGATTAAACAAATTGACTTTTATACCTATGTTCCTATTATTTAAAGTCATTAATGGATGTTGAACTTTACCAAATGCTTTTCTCAATCTACTGAAATGATCACAAGATCCTCCTTTAATCTACAGCTCTGGCAACCACCATTCCACTCTCTGGTTCTGTGTGTCCAACGTTTTTCTTTTTTTTCCTTCATATTCCGCATATAAGTGAGTGAGATCATACAGTATTTGTCTCCCTCTGTCTGGCTTATTTCACTGAGCATAATGCCCTCCATGTTCATCCACGTTGTCAAAAATGGCAGGATTTCCTTCCTTTTATGGCTGAATAATATTCCTTTGTATATATATCACATTTTCTTTATAGCCATCCTCACAGGTGTGAGGTCTCATCTCACTGTGGTTTGGATTTGCATTTCCCTGATGCATCATTCCTGATGATTTGTGATGCTGAGCATCTTTTCATGTACCTGTTGGTCATTTGCATGTCTTCTTTGGAAATGTCTATTCAATTCCTCTACCTATTTTTTAATTGGAATATTTGGGGTTTTTTGCTATTGAGTTGTGTGAGTTCCTTACATATTTTGGATATTAACCCCTTATCAGATACACAGTTTGCAAATATTTTCTCCCATTCAGTAGGTTGCCTTTTCATCTTGTTGACTGTTTCCTTTGCTGTGCAGAAGCTTTTTAGTTTGTAGTCCCACTTGTTTATTTTTTTGTTTTATTTCTTGTGCTTTTGGTGTCATATCCAAGAAACTATTGCCAAGACTGATGTCGAGGAGCTTTCCCCTATGTTTTCATCTAGGAGTTTTACAG